GTTTGAACTGCTGGGACTAAGAGGTTGAAGAACATCCTAATGTCATCCCAAAGCTCTATAAGCATCTCTACCTTTGCAACGTGGAATGTCTCCAGTCCAGTTCCCCGTGGCCATGCACTCATGACTCTGTGACCCCATGAGCTGAAACCCTGGCTGGCAGGAGAAGTCACAGATGGAGCCAAAAGCGAAGTTCCCATGAAGGTGGGAGCAGTTCAACTCTGCATGCTCTGGAGCTCTGAGCTCTGGGCAGGTGATAGCTGCAAGAGAACAGGTCATAGGGCAGGATTTGGGTGGAACTGAATGTAGGGATTAGTGTTTAATCCCAACCTAATAAACCCAAATTTGAGGTGGCAAGTCTTTGATCTTCCTTTCTTACCTCAATACCAGATGGCAAGCCTCACTTTCTTGGACACAGCAGTAGCACTGTTGGTACAGTGATTTTTGCTCCACATGAGAAGCAGTTGCTTCTGTACCAGGACCTGGTTTATCCCTGGCACACTCTGGATCACAGTTCCATGGCAGAAGACTATGGGCATCTTACACAGAGCCTGTTTCCCTACAGGATGCCCACCTCCCAACCCAGCACCCAGGCACACTGGCTCTATCTTTGCCATAAGAGAGGGAGCCTGACCAGGCGCCCTCAGCTATGCACCACAGCCTCTCTAATCCTGTTCTCTCAAAGCCCTCCTGGCAGGAAAAGATGCACATGCAGTTGAAGGCAGAGTCTCCATGTGAGTGGGAGCAGTTGACACAGCCTCCTTTAGGATCCACCACTGCAGGACGGGTGATAGCTACAACCAGATGCAGGCAGAGCTGGTGAGGATGGGGTGAGCACAGCCGTGTCATCCCATGTCCCTGTAGTGCCCTAGGGCATGTCCAACCCTGCTGCAGCCAGAGCCTGTGCTTGGTGTTGGAATAAACCAAATTGTCAATGCTCACTAACACAGCTTTGTTACCAGTTTTGGCAACCAAGTCAGCTGATTATTTGCAGAAAAGAAAAATCCATCATACATCAAGCAGGAAAAAACAGAGCTGTGCTCTGGAAAAGAAGATGTGGGAACTTGGAAAGCCAGGGGCAGGAAAGGTCAGGGCAACTTGCTGTATGGTGCATGGGGGGACTTCCACAAAAATGACATCACATCAGCTGTTGGTGCCTGCTCCCTTATCTGCAAAAATCCCTGGGCCACTGGCCTGCCTAGCACTGCCTCCCTAGGAGATTGCCTTGCAATTAGCGCTGCCAGTTTTAAAAGTGTGTGTACTGCTAGGGCTGTCCATACAGGAGATACCCCTTTGTGTCCTGTACCTGCTTCAGGTCTTGTCACATCCTTGTAACTACACGTAGACCTGTTATACAGAGCAGATGGAGCAAGACTCCACATAAACCCCAAGCCAAAACAGCTCAATGCCTCTGGGACACCAGCAGCTACAAGCCCTCAAGATACTAACAGGAAGACTTTCTCTGCATAACACACCACAGCTCAGTTCTTTTGTGGCTTTCTCCCCACAGTGGTTTCCTGCCTGCCCTATTCCACCCTAACACACCGCCTCTTGCCCTTCTGCCCAACCCAGGCAGGGTGCACCCCTCCCCCAGCCATATGACAGCTCCCATTTCTCTTCTTTAAGTCCTTCTGAAGCACCCAGCACCTTCCCAAGGAGCAGTCAGTGCCTCTAGCATGATGGAGGTACCAGGACACCAGCTGTACCCCAACACAAACAGGGAGTGAGCATCCTCATGCGGGAAATTGCAAGGGTTTGCTTCATCTACACACCAGAATGCACTGTGGGAGTGATGCTGAGCATCAGTGCCACACTCCAGAGCCCCAGACCATGGCAGTGCCTACCTGTGCATGTGGGGGTCTCCGCTGACCACTGCCGATCAGCCAGGCACTGCAGCTCATCCGCACCTTGCCGTTCAAACCCTTCTGGGCACCAGAAGGTGCAGGTGGAGTTATATCTGAAGTCTCCAAATGGATGGCTGCAGTTCATGTATGCTCCTCTGGGTTCAAGTATGGGGCACTGCACAGCTAGGAGAGACGCAGCCACAGCCTGTCAGCAGCACAACAGACCCGTGCTCTTTGCTGGGGCTTCAGCTTTCCAACAAAAGAGGGGTATTTGGGGGATATACAGCCCCAAGCACCATTCAGGACAAGCAACTCAGTCCCAAGCAGAGCCTGTTGGGTACTCACCATTCTCACACTTGTCCCCTTCAAAGCCGGGGTGACACTCACACTTGTAGCTCTGGATGACCTCCACACAGTCACCATGCAGGCCACAGATCAGGGGCTGGCAGGAGACTGTGCACATTGACCATCATCAAGGGGTGCCCTGTCCTGCTCCCAGCCCTCCCCATGTTCTCAACACTTACCCTTGTAGCACAGTGCCTTCTTCTTCTTCTTCGTACAAGGCTCATCGTTCCACTTGCCTGCCTCTGACGACCGCTTGATGTAGATCTCCACGCAGTCCTGGTTCAACTTGCGGTTGTTGGGCTCCCCAGTGGCCCAGTTGGCTGCTTCCTTTGTCAGTGCTTTCTTGGTGCCCACCCAGGTCCAGATACCTCTCAGCTTGCGGATGCCAATCCAGTAGTATTTGCCATGATAGGGCAGGGTGCGATTGAGGTACTCAATCTCCTCCTTGTTCTGGATGGCCACCAGGTCGGTGAAGAACGTCTGGCAGTATGTCCTGGCATCGTCCCACTCATAGTCCTCCTCACTGTAATAGTATGTCCAGGCCCCCACCTGCATCACCATGCCTGCGGGAGAGGATGTGGTCTGGGATTGCTGCAGGAAGACAGTGCAGGTCTGGGAACAGGGTTGGGGGACCTGAGGCTGGTACCAGAGCCAAGAGCCACCAGCAACCAGAGGGAAAAAGTAGGGGAAGTGTGGATGAAAACAGTTCAAAGAGATGTGTAAGAATCTGGCATGGCAGAACAAACCATGCTGGGGTAGAGGGGCAGCAGAGAAATGAGGAAGGTAGGAAAGAGCTGGGGCTCCCCTCACCATAAAGGTCTCCCAAAGAGTTCCTTAAAACACATTTCCTTCTACAAATGTAAAATTGCTCCACATGTGTGGTTTTGTTGTTTAGTTGTTTTCCCTACCTTATTTAATTTACAATTCTACAGGAGGGTCAGTTTTGCACAAGAAAGAAGACCAAGCATGCCCCCATGCCCAAAAGCATCCTCATGCCATACTGCATCCACTATCCAGAGGTGGCCCAAAGAGCTGCAGAACACTACATTGCAAAACACAGCCTTGCAGAAAGCAGTTCATGTCTTGGCCATGCCCACCAGGGAAGGCAAAGCCCAGATTAACTGGAACCCACGCCCAGAAGTGGAAGGCACTTTGATGAAATACTGCTTCTGTTTCCCACCACAACTTGATGTAATCAAGAAGTTTTTGCCACCCAAAAAAAAAGCTTCCTTCCTTCTCCCTAAAGCAGGTATGCCCACAGCTGCAGAAAGCAGCCCAAAAGCAAGGTGGGGAGCAAAGTCACTCCAAGAAACAGGCCTGAGGTACCCTGTCATGGGAGAGCACATCTTACACTTTCGTTGTGAAGGCAAATGTCTAGGCATTGCAGATTAAATACAAATACATGGCTTCACAGATATAATTAGGGCTCTAGCTAGGCCAGTTATCATACATTTTCCTATGCAAAATCCCTACAGCTTGTCTGGTTTTCCTTGTGGAAGATCCAACTACCTGTTTTGTTAAACAAAACCAAGAAAAATGTGTTCCCAAAAGCAGCCCAGCTTCTCAATTCCTAGGGCTACCAGGGCACAAACTTAGGGCAACTGCTGGGAGCCTGCCCTGGCCCCTACCACCTCTCCTAAGAATCCCAAAAAGGACCAGATCCCAGGAAAGACCAGGGAGCAAATCTACAGCCTACCTGTCATGCAGACACACTCCTGCCTCATTCTTCCAACTCATGCAGCCCCGTATGCTCAGTCTTGTCTCACCTCTCCCCCACTCACCTGAGCTGAGCCCCACTGGGGTTCAGTTAGCAATACAGACAGCTCCATGCCTCCTGCCCTGTGCAGTGTGGCACAGTGCTTGCAGCACTCAAGATGCATTTATATTCTTGTTTTCCTTGCAGAACTAAATCTCAGTCTCCTCCTGACACTTCTACTTTTGCCTCTGCTCTTCTGCTGGTTTGCGAAAGGTCTTTTGTAAATGGACCCAGACCACACAGGATTTCTAGGACAGAGTACATTTCTTTCCCCCTGCAGTGCCAGTATGCAAAGCAAAGATCCTGCAGGCACCAAAGCCAAGTGTCTGCTGGGCCCCCAGAATAACTCTGCTGCCCTTCTCCAGTTTCCCCTTCCCTCAGGGTCACGGTGGCACCTTACCACATGTGAAGACAGTGATGCCCAGGCAGCAGACGCCACAAGAGCCGACAGCCCACATCCTCCGAGCGCAGTGCTGTCCCACAGTGGTGCCCTGTGTGCTGGGGAGAAGGGCATGAGCATGCATCCTTGCCAACTGCAAGGTACCCACCCACAACCTTCCCTGCCCCCTACCCAAGCAGATCCCAGCTGTCCCCGCAGGAAGGAGCAGGCAGACCTACCACGCTGGTGCTGCAGGGTGCCTGCTGTGCCTGGCCCTTGCCCTGGGCAGGCAGCGCTACTCACGCTTCCTGCAAAGTCACAGAGCATCACTCCCTCCCCTCAGTTTCTTCCCCTCCTGACCCAGCCCTGCTGCCAGCCCGCATCCTGCCCAGCTGCGCTCCCCACTTCCAGGAACCTGCTGCCAGCTGGAGACTGAGACCCCAACGAAGGCCCAGCCTGGTGTGCGGCCACCCAGAGCCCTCCAACCCACCATGTCAGTGACAGCAGTGAAGAGAGGACAGAGCAGGATGAGGTGTGTGGACCTGCACCGGGCAGAGCAGGAGTGTGGTGCGTGGCTCCCGGATACCACTCAAGACCAATTAGTTACACAATGTATTTTCCCGTTTCTGCTTTTTTAAATCTTTATGAGAAAGGTCATAAAGGGACAGGGGAACTTCCCCCCATTAAATGTCCTTTATGAACATCTACCAATGCTTCAGGAAGGTGCCTGTTGTGTACGGGTGTATCACCATATACCTATTTTTATACATATTCTACTTCTAAGTAGTGTCATTTTCGCAAGGTTTTCTGCAGGAGTTGCTCCGCTCACTTCCAGTTAAAGCCAAGGCAGAAGCCCTTTGGGTCACATGCACATTCCAGTTCCAGAGAAATAAGTAATGCTCCAGTGGGACTCATACAACACAAAAGGAGGAACCTATCTACGAAATCCATAACTCATTATAGTGCCTTTCTGCCTGGCCAATGTAAATGAAATTCTGTTCCCATTCTTTGTCATCATCCTTGCAAAATGTTCTACTGCAATTCTCCCTCTTTCTGTACATGCAGTAACCCAGCAGCATTTGCTTTACCAGCTCCCGTGCTTGGGACAGGGAATGACATCCCAGTGGGCAGAGAAGCTGAGGGGTGGCTGCTGGGCAGGGGGACACCTCAGGAAGCCATGGTCCCCTGAGAGGGATGAAGCTGCTGCTGCACTAGGACAGTCAGAGGGATGTTGCTGGATGCTCGGCCCCAGGAGAGGGCGGGAGGAAAATGGGCTGTGCCCCTGCTGGTTTCACTTCTGCTGGTACAGGGCACAGTGGGGCAGAACAACAGAAAAAAAAAATTGCATTTTGTTGCTACGAATAGTCCCTGGTGCTGTAAAAGCAGAAGTGAACTGGCTGAGACCTGGAGGTGGCCACTGCAAGGGGAAGGACGCAGCCTTGAACCCAGGGGTGATGCTTTGCATGTAGAGGAGAGGGATACACATGGCAGAGGGGAAGGAGGATTGCAATCAGTTCTGCAGCTCTCCCAGGAGTTAGATAATCTGGGGGATAATCCTGTTTTGACTTGCTGGTGTTCCAGGGCCAGCTTCTGGGCAGGCGTTGGCACATGCTCCTCATAGGGATCCTGCAGGCTCCTCTGGCATCACGAGACTGAGTGGGTTGCTCCCCTGCCACTTGGAAGGAGCCCCTCACCATGCACACTGCTCTTGTTTTTGGCAGAGGCCCCATCCCTGTGTGGTACAACCCTCTCCTCTCCTTGAGCAATATTCCCTGCAAACCGCAGAGGAACCGACTCACCCTGACGCAGCCTGCCTGGAGCAGCTGCCTCTGGTGATACCACAGGCACCTTCCTGGGCACCTCCTACAGTCCCCAGGGCATGGAGACATGGGGCATCCCCAAAGGGTGCAGTCATCGGGTGCAACCCTGCTCCCTCCTTCCTCCCATGCCACCCCATTTTCAGTCCCTACACTGAGCCAGGATGCTTTGGAGGCACCTTTTGGGCATGGGCTGAGGATGGCTCCCTTTCCACAGTGCCACCATGGGGGCTTTTTGTCCCCAAAGTGGTCCCGAGCTTGGAAGTGCCTCTGAGTGCATCTCGCCTTGGTGCCCCTGCAGTGTGGCATGCGGTACAATCTTTCTCAGAATCTGAAAATGATAACAGGTTAGCCACAGGAAGACATGTTTACTGAAATATCACCCCAACCAGGGCAGGGCGAGATGGTGGTACTGATTTGTTGAACCAGGATGGGGATGTCCCCAAATGTCCCTGGCATGCCCAAGGTGAAACAACCCTGGCTGTGAGGTGCAGTGGGGTTTGGGGACCCTGCCCACCACACCGTGTCCCCCTTGCCCTATTGATACCCATCAGAGCCATTGCTCTGACCCTGGAGATCTCAGCCTTGTGCCTTCACCCTGCAACAGAGGGAGAGAGAGCCACATGGCATCACTGCCATCTGTGCACCCCTGAGGCTGGCTCCTGTTGCCTGGCTGCAGCAGCATGTGCCAGGCATGGGTAAAGATTTGCCAAACAGGATGGTGGGGGTGGAGATAATGGAAACTTATCTCAGTGCTGGTGTAGTGAGCAGTAAACAAGTGGCCCTGCCTATCAGGGTGAGTGCAGCCTGGGGCATCCTGTCCCACGCAGCCCTACTCATTGACCTTATGGTACTGCCTTGTGTCCCCCACACATCACCAGTGCTACTGCAACAGTCTGGTTTAATGCTTTAATGAAGTCTTCTTATTTCAAGAGGGCAAGCCCAGAGGTGGATTCTGCTGCCTGTCTCCCCAGCACGTTTTTGCCTCTCTCTGCCTCTTCCCTTCCCCTTACTCTGGCTCTCTCCCCAGCTGATCTGGCTCTGCAGCCATGCAGCTCTGCAAAGAGCCATGCAGACAAGCGGATGAATGCTCTCAGCCATCAGAGTCCTGCCTCGGGCTGGTGCCAGCCCCCCAGAGCAAACAATGTCCTGTACTCCTGCCAGGAAATCCGGAGGCAGCCCGGGTCATGCAGTGAGGCCAGCTCCATTTTCCTGCACACAGAAGCATCCTTGAGCATGTTCATTCTTCACCTTTTGGCAGCTCAGGGCTGAGCTTTCCTCTCCTTCCAGCCTCAGGCAAGCGACCTGCCTTGTGCTTCCTGCCCTCTTGTGTTCAGTGCCAGCAGTGCTTTGATGCTTTCAAACCCTGGGACCTTGGTTATTTTTCTGCTCCTGAGGACCTCTCTCCTTGGAAAGCGCCCTTCTCCTCACTGCCATCTGCGTGCAGAACTGAGGAGACACCTCTCCTGCATTCTGGTCCTGCTGCTTGTCTCAGAGTTGGATGGTTCCTCTCTCAAAGTCCAGACTTGTGGGGTGAGACTCTGCAAAGAAAATAACTCCACCTAAAATAATGGGGGCAAGGGTGTCCCCAATATTTTGCTGTCATTTTGAAATTAATTCCTCCTTCTCCACATTCTAGCTTTCCACATCTGTGGTTTATTATAGAATCACAAAATCATTTAATCCAACCCCAACCTATTCCCACCATGCCCCCTGAACATGTCCCTCACTCAGTTCTTGAACACCTCCAGGGATGGTGACCCCACCACCTCCCCAGGCAGCCTGTGTCGGTGTCCAACCACTCTTTCTGAGAAGAAATGTTTCCTAATAATACTTGTGCTTCAGACCCCTCACAGCTCTGTTGCCCTTCTCTGGATGCATTTAAGAACAGGACCTTTCCACTCCATTCCATCTCCTGTCCCAAAAGTAGACAGACTCGTTGGCAGGCTTTGCTTTGACAGGACAAGGGGAAATGGTTTCAAACTAAGAGAGGAAATTAGATTGGATATAAGGAAGAAGTTTATTTCCATAAGGGTGGTGAGGCAGTGGCACAGATTGCCCAGAGAGGTGGTGGGTGCCCCATCCCTGGAGACAGCCAAGGTCAGGCTGGATGGAGCTGTGAGCTCCTGATGGAGCTGTGGGTGTCACTGTTCACTGCAGGCCAGATGGCCTTTAAGAGTCCTTTCCAACTCAAATGGTTCTATGATTGATTCTATCCCCAACTCCACTGGGGATCTTGCTGGCCTAGACCCATGCTGGGGCTCGCCCCCACCTCACCAACACCATACCTGGCTCCTGGAGGGATGCCATGCACAGCGGCAGCTCAGGCCACTAACCTCTGACTGCCAGCCCCGCCGCTGTCACACAGATGTCACATAGAGGTGTCTCAGCGCTGTGTGGGATCTCCGGGCATCCTTCTGCACTGATGTCTGTCGGCTGACATGTGAGGCTGCCCTCAGCATGGGAGACACCGGCCCCAGCGGTGCCACCCGCAGCGTTCGTCCCCGCTGCCGCTGGGGTGTCTGTGGGGTGCTGGGGGCACCTGGCACACCTCCATTTGTCCCTGGGACGTTGCTCTCAATGATAAGCTGGAGCAGGCCTGCTCCAGGGAAGTCCAAAATGACCACTCCCCAGCACACCGGCTGCCCCGAGCAGCGCTGCAGGTGCTGATAGCACTGAGGGTTGACGAAGCGGGCCACGTCCTCGGGGCAAGTGAAGAGCCCATTGCCGGAGCAGAAGGTGAGGTGCATGGTGGCAGGGTTCCCACTGGCTGCTGCGTCCAGGTGCCGCTGTGCTCGTGCCCATTTCCTCTCCAGTGAGAGCACGTTCCACGCATCGCTGATGCTCAGCCGCTCGTAGGGGATGCCCAGCACCGCCCGCTCCAGTGCCTCCAGCACCACGATCTTGCCTCTCACCTGGCCCAGCGTGGGCACCTCCTCCCGGCACCACAGCCGACCTCTGCTCTCCTCCAGCAAGCATCGCTGGAGCCGGGCAGCAAAGCGGGTCCGCGGGAAGAAGGGGAGCTCCTCCTTGATGCGCATCAACACAGCCTCGCCAGGGTGGGCGCGGAGGAAGCGCAGGGTGCGACGCAGGACGCCCCGCAGGCTGACCCGCTGGAAGGCACACAGATGGTAGACGCGCAGCTCACCCCGTTCCAGCTTGCAGCGCACGTCCAGGAAGCGCACGCCAGCCGCCAGCTGGGCCTCCAGGCTCCAGCTCTGGCAGCGCAGGCGCCGGCCACCAAACAGGCTGAGGGAGTCGTGTGTGCCGGGGATGGAGAGGCGGGAGAGCGGCAAGGCGTCAGGCAGCGCTGCCATCCAGTCGGGGCAGCAGGCAGCAGGCTGGGCCGTGTTGTCGAATGCTGCATTGCGCTGGCACCGTGCATCCATGCTGCAGTGAACACGGGCACCCCAGCACTGGGCCAGCCTGTGGTGGTGGGGTGCAGCCTGTTGGATGGGGTGTAGGCAGTGACTGGCAGGCTGAGAGGGATGCTGAACATTATCTGGGTGATGCTTGTGATACACGTCATGTCCCTCATGTGGCACGTGCTGCAGGGATCCAGGCTCACTCCTAGCCAAGGAGAGCTCAGCAGGATGGAAAATTGCTGGGCTGATCCTGAATGCAGCCGGTCAGGCTGCACACCTCCCTCCTCAGGAATCAGGATAAACGGGACCGGGTGCCCCACAGTCCTGGGAAGCTGCCTGCACCCGGAAAGGCACAGCTGGTTGGGGCTGCCATCACTGCTGAGCTGTGAGCCCCATGAGCTGGAGGCAGAACCTGGGGGTGACTCACTGCCTACCCTTGGGACACAGCTGCCTCACACTGTGCTGCCCTGAGGGCTTTGATGCTCGAAAGGCGAGTACCCCTGCTGTGATATTTCTCTGGGGACACAGAGCAGGATGGCCTCCTGTGACACTCTGTGAGAGCTCTCACTGAGCTGACCCCAGCATAGAGGCAGCACAGGCTGAGGGTGTGGACGTTCTGCTGCCACCCCCGCTGGCATGACAGCAGGGCGGAGCGCTGGGGCGGGCGGGGAAAGCAGCAGCCGCAGCTCCAGGAGCGGCAGCAGTGCAGCCCAGCCTGCAGCGCGGCACCTCCCCTAAGCATGGCGGCACCCAGCAGTGGAGGTTCCTGCTTCGTGCTGGGGGGCTCGGGGGCAACGGGCCGGGCGCTGCTGCAGGAGCTGTGCGCACAGCGGCCTTTCAGCAGGGTGACGGTGATCGGGAGGCGGCAGCTGAGCCTGCCTGAGGGCAGCGGCGTGGCCGTGGTGCGGTGTGGGCCGGGGGTTGCGGGGTCCGTGCTGGAGGTTCCACCCTGACCCACGTGCCTCCCCCAGGAGCAGGCGGTGGTGGACTTCGAGCGGCTGGGCGAGCACGCCGATGCCTTCCGCGGCCACGACGTGGGCTTCTGCTGCCTGGGCACCACCCGGAGCAAAGCGGGTGCGGTGAGTGGCCCTGGCCGGTCCCAGGGGGTCACTGGGCATCGCCTCGCCCAGCGAGATGCTCGGATCTGGGGGATGTGTCGTGGGTGCCTCCGCTCCCGCTGGGGCGCCTGCTCGGTCAGAGGTCGCTGACCCCGCTCCCTGTCCTGCCCTAGGATGGCTTTGTCCGTGTGGACCGGGACTACGTGGCACAGGCAGCCGAGCTGGCGCGGGCAGGGGGCTGCAAACACTTCGTCCTGCAGTCCTCCCAGGGAGCGAACGAGCGCAGCAGCTTTCTGTACCTGCGGGTGAAGGTGAGGAGGGAAGCTGGGTGTGCTCCTAGAGATGGAGATGTGGGGACTCTTGGGAACGAAGCTGGAGCTGAGGCTGCAAGGGGTCCAGTGGACCTAGGACTCTCCTGGTGAGGGGGAACAGAGAGCCCAGGAGATGGGCTGGCAGCACAGCAGCGTGCCCTGCTGCGTCCTAAAGGGCAGACACCAGGCGTTCAGCATCCTTACACTACTGAGCACCTCCCACTCTTGCAGGACTCACTCCTGACTGCAGTGTGTCACAGCGGCATTGCCCGGGCTAGGCAGCAACCCGTTGCCACCCCTCCTCCCCCCCCAACCCCCGTTGCCCTGCTCTGCCCACTGTGCGTGCTGTTGCTGCAGTTAGCGCTGCGGCTACAAGGGAGCGCTGCTGACTGCTGTTTGGCTGTCTGGAACTGACAGTCCTTTCCTAGAGAGCTTCCTAGGGCTGTCTCTCAAAAGCTGGGTTTTGTTTTTGTTGTTAATGAATTTCTGGGCTCTCTGCTGACCCATCCATTTGCCCCGTTTGGGTCCCTGCACTGCCCTGCCCTCTGCTTTGGCTATTGGCATCTTGGCAAAATGCTTTGCATTTTGAACAGGGTCAGCTTGGTAGTTCTCCCTTCCTTGCCCTCCAAAAAACCCCTTTCCTCAGACATGGTTGTGGCCTGCATGGGAGAGGAGGAGTGACCTTTACCTATAGCCAAATATACCTGGCTCCTGCCAGTTTGGGTGCTCTATGCCCTTCCTACTGCAACCCTCATCTCCTAAGTTATCTGGAGGATTACTCACGGCTCACAAGCACACACCAGTTGTGTGTTGGGCAATACCTGCAGGTGGCAGGTACAGAGGTGATGCAAGACTGAGCATATGTGCTCACAGCCCTCCAGAGGCTGGTGGGACTGTGGCTGGGCAGGTGGGGAAGGGTCAGCCACTGCTGCTTTTTGGCCACCTACCTCTGAGCAGGTCTTCTGCTTCTCCCTTTTGTGTCCATATTTTTCCCTACCACCAACTCAGCAGCTTTCCTTTGTGTGTTCATTTTACCTTTGCCACATTGTAGAAGCCTGGGAGCTAAATCCCTGCTGGTCAGCCCCAGCACTACAGTCATGTCCTGTGGCTGTGTTGTGCACTGGGGGTCCTGGGGTAGGCTGCAGGATGCAGCAGCAGCCAGACACTGTGTCCTGCTCACAGCTCAGCTCTTCCTTCTTCCTGATTCATAGGGTGGGAGACAAGGTGCCTGTGATCATCCTCAGCTTGTTTTGTCCCCACTGTGACAGGGAGAAGTGGAGAAACTGGTTGAGGCTGTCGGCTTTGACCGCTGCACCATTCTTCGGCCAGCGTGAGTAGCAGAGGGGACACGGAGCCAGGAAAGGGCTGGGAAATGGAGCCATGGGCAGCGTACATTAGGGGAGGGTTGGGAAGGAAGTGAAGAGGGCCTGCAGGTGCAAATGCTGCTCCTACCTGCACCTCTTCCCCTCTGCTATAAACAACAAGCCCAGCCATTTCCACAGCCCTTCCCGAAGCCATGCTTTTGAGGCTTGGGTTCAAAACACAGGTTGGGGGACATTGGTTGAAGCTTAACTTCATCTGGAGGTCAGCCTGTGTGGAGAGGCTGCTCTCCTGTATCCTTTCAACCATACTCTACCTGGGAGAACCAGCATCCTGGTTTTGGCAGCCTGTCGGTAAAAAGAGCTCCCAGTGATCAGCCCACTCATTCCAGGACCCTGCAGAAGCCACTTGGGGCCAGTGCAAGTTTTCCAGCTTGGCTGGGCTCTGCAGCCTGGCCCACCTCACCTTCTTGCCCGCAGGGTGCTACTGTGTGCACGCCAGGAGTTCCGCCCCATGGAGTGGATCACACAGCGGATTCTGGGATTCAGTGCCCGGTTCTTCCCCTCTGCTTACTCAGTGCCTGTAGAAACAGTGGCGAGGGCAATGGTGGCCAGTGTGCTGCAGCCAAGTGGGGAGAAGGTGGAGGTGCTAGAGAACAAAGCCATTCATCAGCTGGGAAAGGCAGTGCCGCAGCCGGGCACATAGAGCAAAAGTGGCAATAAGTGGTTGGCTGACCTTCTGGATTCTGTTCTGGGCTGATGATGAATGTATGGGATAATACATAATACAGTGGAGTGTTTGCATGGACAATGGGGAGCTGGGGTGCAAATCTGGGTAAGCATTTTATAATTTAAACAATTCCTTGAATTGAGACCTTGAATAAAACCCTGTGACTGGCCTGTGCTAATTGTGTTGAAATTCTGCTTTCCATCTGCACGTTGCCAGCCTGGCTGCATCTCCTGGTGCCACCTCAGGTAACACGTTTGGGCATATGGTTGGGGCACAGCTGTCCCCAGGCACCAGCACCCTTCACATGGCTGTGATCCCAGCAGCTGCACAGCACCCATATCCTCATGCTCTGTTGCGTGGCAAAGGAGGCAGGGCTATTGGGCTGCCCGGGAGCCTCTTGCATCCCAGCCCCTGCACCAAAGCCATTCTCAGGCCTCTCACAGGGTCAAGGACCGTGGTGGTTCTGCAGCTGGGAGCTTTACGTGACTCCTGCGCTCCCGTCTGGCTGCAGGCCCAGTGGCTTTCCAGGGTTTTCTTTTCTTCAACCTCCCCCTGGTCCCTGTGTCAGTGACTCAGATGGGGAGAGGAGATGGGTGCCTGGTCTCTGTCCTCCCGCACAAATGTTCACATCACCAAGCTGGCACCTCAGAGACATGGTGCCACCAAGCAGTAATCCAGGGAGACTGATCCAGAGAGAGCCAAAGAAGATCTGTAGAGTAATTCTTAATGTAAAAAGGGACATGCAAGGTGGGCTGCTCAGGAATAGCACACACACACCTGGAGGGGTTTGTGGCTTATGCAGCATGAAGGCTGCTCAAACATGCAGTGCTGGGTTACTCTGGTGTAAATGCATCCCAGTGCTCAGAGGTGTTATCAAAGGTGATGTGTTCAGCAGAAGAGAACAGGTGAATGCTTGAAACAACGAGACCTGTGAAGATGCAAAAATTGCATACATACAAGACAAAGAAAATAAAGAATGCAAACTCTGGGAAGTTACAGGTAAAAGGCAAACTGAGGAGGTTTGAGGAAAACATCCTTAAGGCATAAACATAAATCACGACAGTATGAGAAGCAAAAAGCTCCCCACAAAGCCTGGTGGGGCATGACATGAGCAAGTTTTATGAGAGAGCCATCATAGGAAAGCTTAAGGAGTTGACTCATATCAGCCTCTGCTGTGAACAAGCTCACACCAGCATCGTTCCTTCAGAGACACATGATTGTCCCAAAGCGTTGGGCTGTGTAAGGGAAAAAGTGATTTTTAACCACATTTTTAGAATGCATAGTTTTAAAAAATGGCCAGTGCCAGAAGGAATGCTCAGATGGATTGCCAGAGAGTGCCTTGGGTGAGAATTGCAGCAATCCATCCACCAAGAAGCCAGTGTTGCTAAATATGATGCTAATTTTCAGAAAGTTCCAGTGGGAACCAGGAAGCTGCAAAGCAGCAAAGCTGCGTTCTATAAAAGGCAAGTTGTTAGAAAGGAAAATAAAGGCCTGAAATAACAGAAACCAGAATAAATACGGTGCAATGGGAGATTCCATGTGGCTTTTGAGTGGGCAGCTTGAAGGCACGAGCCCATACTGCTCTTTGAGGATGTCAGTCGCTGTGTACATAGGACATGGTCCTCAGGGGGCACTGGATCTCCAAAATGCTCTCCCAAAAGGGCTCTTAAAGAAATTAAGCTGTCGTGGGAAGAAGAAGAAGGTCTGTGTATTCCTTTTAGGAAATATTTTCTTAGCACTCCAAAGCCTTGAAATGGACAAAACAAACATTTATTCCTAGACAAAGGTCTGGGGAAAACACCGGCTATTTCTGTGCAACCCTTGTTTTTGCTCAGCAGAGAGGCACCATGCAGCATCTCCCCAGCCCCTCCTCACCCAGCTAGGGCTGAAAGAGGTGGAGGACCAGGCACAAGGTGAGGGAATAGATCTGCAGGGACATCCCTGTGTGCTCTGGGCCACTGAGATCCCCTCGGAGCAGCAGGAGGTTGGCACAGTGGGAGCTGTGCTGCAGCTGGACGGACAGCACGCAAGGTTGCTCAGCGTCTGCTGGACGGCATCCATGCAGACCTCCTGCTCCCACAGATCCCAGCTCCCCCGGGATAGCTGACCCTGGCTTCGTTGCTGGAAATTAATGAGGAAAAAACAACTGCAGTCCCCATGACTCCACAGCCGGGCGCATGGCTTCCCGTGCGGCTCTCATGGCCCTGCTGCCCTCCTGGATGGGGAGCTGTGAGAACCGCCGTGCCCTCTGCCCGTCCCGCTCCTGGCAGCCCCATTGGGTGACAGCAGCACCTGCAGGCAGGCTGCAGAGCCTGGCACTCCCCACAGCCCTGGGGCTATGGGGCTCTGGACTGTCTCCAGCACGGGGTGCATCATCTCTATGCCAATAACAGCTCAGGAACAGGCTGATAGAGCCTCTCAAGATACTCCAGGTGTCCTTTCTTTTATCCCACTGTCATTGCAAACAGAAATTGCTAAGTCCAGCTCTCCATGCAGGCAGAGATGGCCCTGAATGTTTCTAGCAGACTTCCAGCTTTGGATTCCTACACTCAAATGTGGACACCAGTTTATTGCACACCAGCAGGAGTTGGACTGGAATGGGGCCCAGGTCTGCCCCAGGGATAAAGAGGGGCACAGCTCTGACACAGCTGGGGAGCAGAAAACACATCTGGGGTGAGCTTAAATCCATCCAGGGCAGTTACATTCACTCTTGCCACTTTAAGTACTGTTAAAGCACAAAGAGTTGCTTGGCTCTCCTTGCAGCATATATATGATGACAAACTAATGTGGGTCAGAAACCAGAGCAGATCATCCCTGGGGCCATGTGTGGGTCGGCACACACTGCTCTGTTCAGAATGAGAGACATCTACAGCAGGTGTTGGGGCAGTTTTGGACCACGGGTTTGGTGCTGGGCCACCCACAGCCAGGCTGACCCCCCAGGAATTTGCCCCTCAGCCTCACTCCATAGTGCTGCCTCTTCACCATGCCTGGCTGAGGCTGGAGAGAAGTCACACCATAGGCAGGCATTGGCTCCACAGTTCCCGGTTTCAGAGGAGCAAACAAAGTAAACATCCTCAATCCCAGAGAAGTGCTGTCACACTGCAGAGGACAGGCACTGGGTCCCTGCTCAAGCACTCTGCAGCCCACTCTGCAGGCAGCTCCGGGCTCTGGTGTTTACTCTGCTTGTCTGCAAGGGGGTGGGAAAACAAACTCCACATAAAAGTCAAGGTAGGAAACCATCTAAGCCTCATCAAAGCATCACCATCATAAAACCAAATCATTTGTTATCATTAAAACATTTACTTTTTACACTTACAACCTGTTCTGGAACAAATGCTACCTATCACTCACTTGCTGATAACCACTGCTGAAACTGGAGGTTTTGACATTAATCACAATGTTTATTTCAAAGGCAAATCCTTCTCCTAAGCACTTGATTTTCACGCAGGTAGTACTTTTGTAGGAAAAACATTCACTTGCAAGCAGCGTTACTACGCACCTCTGCTAAACACTGCCCCGGAGCCTGGTACACAAGCAAGGGGAAGCTTTGCGGGTTTCTCCAAGCTCTGCAGCCTGGCCCTGGTGCTGCCATTCCCTGCTCTCACCCTAGGCACACGCATTTCCCCATGCAAGCTGGAAGAAGGGAAAACAAAATCGTAAGGCGGCTGGGCCAGCTGCGTTGGGACGGCGTTGGGGGCTGGCAGGGATCCAGCTGACTGCACTATATAGCTGTCAGAGGGAGAGCTGGGCTGCAGTTCGAGTCGCAGCCATCGCGCACTCTTTTCCTGCAGCTGAGGAAGGAGAAGCGTGCCAAGATGTGCAAAGGACTCGCCGCGCTACCGCATACATGCCTGGAGAGGTGAGAGCAGCTGGTTCTGCATCACTTACGGACTGGGAGGGAAGGGATGGGGCTGCTCCAGCTGCGGGTGGCTTAGAGCTTGAGGGTGAGCAGTGATGTGGCCCCAAACTCTGGTTTGAAAACCTCTCTGCTTGGCAAGGCTGCAGTGCCCCAAAAACCACCTTTTGACCCCACCGTTCCCCCATGCTGTCTCTCTGCCCGTGCCTGTGGAACAGAGGACCAGTATCTAGTCCTGCCTCCCCACCTGCCATACCAGAGAATGGGGAGCTGCTACTCCCAGGAAGCCTTAGGGCAGCTTTGTTAGTGCAGGAGCAGGCTGAGCATGCATCAAGGTGCCTGGGGAGGCTGCCAGCAAGCTCCCACAGAAAAGTTTCACTGCTCAGAGCTATGGGGCTCTGCAGCACCCGCACGTGGCAGTTGCGCTCTCCTGTGGGTCTCAGGGTTGCAGCAGTAATGTTTGCAAAGCATGGTGGGGAAAGCAGAAACGCTGTTGCCACTCTGCACCAAAACCACCTTTAACTTTAAAGTGCCTCAAAATCCTTCTTGTCTGATTATGTTCTTCTCAGCCCCTGGTGACCACAGCCCTGAGCCCTTTCACGAGGCTCAGCTTTGTACACAGTGCTGTTCACCCACTCTTGCTGTCCCACCTCTGCCTGCCCATGATGATGCTCGTGGCACCGGCTGGTTGCTTTCATATCACGGGAGCATTTTGGGGCAGACACCTCCGCTTCAGGCTCTGGTGCATTACAAAAGGCTTCTGGAGGGGCTCTCCATAGGTGCTGCTGGAAGAGGAGCTGCTGCATGAGGCTCCACCTGCATTCCTCAGGGCTCCAGCGGCCTGGCAGCCACCCTGCTCACAGCCAGCTCAGCCCAATCCTGCTCACCTCCTGTAAGATCTCAGCCCACATTCCCTCACCCTTATGAGGCTGCCCATGCACCAGCTCCTACCTTTCTCATGCTGTCTACCGTGGAATGTTTTCTCCTGCAGTGTGTATGGGGAGGTCTTGCTGGAGGCCTGCTGGACTGGTCCCTCCTCACCCTCTCCCTCTAGCACATGCTTGCTGGCCTATGCAGGGAGCTGAGATGCCTGTCCGGAGGCTGCTCCTGCAGCCAGCACTGCACTGCCTCCTCTCTAACACTCCATATTTGTCCATGTGTCCACCACAGCCAGCTGCTACAGCTGCAGCTGACATTTCAAGCTGCACAGGCTGTGCAGCCACACAGCTCCCCAACAATCCCCAGGGTCCGTCTCCTCACAAGGGATGTTGCATCCCACACCAGACATCGTGGGGATATTGCACTGCGATGCCACTGAGGCTCCTTGGTGGCTGCTCGCTCCTCAGCCTCTCCTACCTGTCAGGACATCAAGCAGATCCTGTCCAGAGAAAGCTTTCCCCGTACAAACGGCCCCAGAAGCTTTACTGCCTGGAAGCAAACCAAGAGCTGCAGCCTTTCAGCTTCAGCTTTAACGTCTTTGAGCTTCTTGTTTTGTTTTCTAACTTAGAGGCTCTCCTGGCCTGCATCTTGATGTGTTTGACAGAGTCCATATTTTCTCTTAATGCCTTTTGGAAGCTGTTCCTCAGACTTTTTCTTGGCTTGCTCCCACGTATTTTCACACATAACATTCCACAGTTCATGGTCTCTCCATTCCTCTCACTCTGGAGCTTGTGAAGAAAGCCTGTTTGCTTATCGCTGCCTTTTCAGTCCCACTGTTTAGTCTTCCTGAAGGCTTGCTTGAAGACTGGTGACACATCTACTTGAGCACTCTAGGACAGTGTCTTTTAAATAACTCTGCCCACCCACATGCCTGTGAGTGCTCAGCCCTTCTGGTTGTCCTTTTGGCAACCCTCCTCATTTCAGGAGCTTCCTCGTGCACCAATGAGGCCCCACAGCTGAAGACACACACTCAGGATGGGGAGGTCCTTGCTCCCATTCCCCATACCAGTCAGGGCAGGTGTCAAGGCAGCCCCAGGTGTATCACAGCCAGACCAAGGGGTGGAGCAAAGCTAGGGCTGCTCAGAGAACAGGACAGCAGGAGAAGAGGCCATAGTACAGCCCCTGAGCCTAAAATATAGGGCAGGGAGCCCAGGTGGGGCTGCTGAGGGCTATCAGTGCTCATTTGTGCCCTTTGTGCCACACAGGTGTTGGCTCTGAGCCTGTTACAGGATGGGAAATTGCTGGCAAGATTTTGAGCAAGGGCCAAATGCTATCCAAGGAGCACCTGCTGCTATGTAAAGTGATGCTGACCGCTTCCATACCCACAGTACAGGTCAGCACCCATAGCAGGGTGGTGAAGCATCATGTCCTGCTCAGACAAGGACAGATGGCCGGTCTCCTTCTCCCCTTTGTTATGCAGTCATGCTTGTGGATTAGATGTGGGTCCTGGTGACCTGCTGCCAGCACAGCCCACGTCCCCCACCCACCTGAGTCCTGGCACCTAGCTAAGCTGAGGCTGAGGTGGTGGTGCCAAGGGGACATAGCCCCAGGGTCCCCTCAGCATGGTGAGTACGGGGACATTACCGCCCTTCAACTCAGGTCCTGCTCCATCCAGGCAGGGTCTGACCTGCCTTGGAAGCACGAGGGATGGAAGCTGTCCCTGTCCCTACATTCATTTTCTGAGAAAAGCTAGTTTTCTGGCTGCGCTTCTGCTCCGTGTAAGGGTTGCTGTTGGTGGCTGCAGCAGGCAGCACGCACCTGTGGAGGGTGGAAAAGCAAAACAGAGAGAGATTTGCAGGCAGACCAAAAAAAAAAAAAGAAAAAAGAGTGGAAGTGAAATAGCAGACATAGCAAGGGAACGGTTTTGCACAGAGGGCATGTGAAAATAAGAAGTGCAGTGAGCCCTGGAGATGTGCAGCGTGGCCTCTGTCATCACACCGTGGTGAGGCTCCAGTAAAGCTCCCAGGGTCTGCAGGGCCCTCCCTGCTACAGGTGCAAGACTGAGGTGCCACTGAGAGCTGAGCCATGCAATGCAGTGGGTGCATGGGAGCAGGCTGACATGGGGTAGGCACCATGCACGGGCAGGCTGCCTGCTCGCTTCCTCTGGACTTATTGCTATAGAAACTGCACAGACATCCCCAATCCATCTGCATGGCAGCCAGGACAGGTGATGCAATTATCCCAGCTACAGATGGAGACAAAACAAAGAGATCAAGCTTACGAGCTGTGGCTAATTCTGAGCATCTGGCTTGAAGTGCTTCACACAGGCTCCTTTACAGCATCAGGGTCCATTTGTTCACATGTAATTAACAACATGGCTCTGTACCAGGCCAGGTGCCTGGCCACATGGCTGTGCCACTCCAGCAGCTCTGTGGTTCCTCTTGTCCCCCTGCCCGACCTGCCTCTGCTCACCCCTGCAGGGCCAAGGAGATCAAGACCAAGTTGGGCATACTGCTCCAGAAGCCTGACTCGGCCATTGACTTCATCGTCCCCTACCCGGAGAAGCCAGAGAAGCCAGCCAAGGCCGTGAAGTGAGCATGGGTTTGGGTGCTGGGCAGCATGGCTCCATGGAAAGCAGCTTTCTCACAAAACTTAGTTTGCATTGAGATTACACGTTCATTTAACACAAGTTTTGTGGAGTGGGTGGATTGAGAATCATGTCAGGAGGCAAAATAAGCCTTTAAAAGAAAAGTTAACTTAAATCTAAAAGCAGAATGGTGTCCTGGACGTAGTCAATAGCCCCACTATTACCCCCAGCCCAGCCTCACTGTGAGCCTGAGCGTCAGGACATCCAAGCTGCTGCCCCAGTGCTCTTACTATCCCTCAGCACTGTCACCATCACATGTCACCCTTCACATGGCCAAATGTTCATTTCCACTTTAAAAATCATGACTTGAGTTGTCTGACTTGCACTGGTCCCTCAGTGGGGAGTGCTTTCCTTTTGCCCCAATTCTGTGGCACCCCGCCTTGCTGTTCCTAAACTAAGCCTCAGAGATCCTGGCGACCCATCACCCCAGTTCTCCAGAGCTCTTCACTCCATCCCTCCCCATTTTTAAGGAATGACCACCTGCTGCACGATGAGCATGAGCTACCCAGGCTTTCTTTACCCCTTCAGACCATCCCCAGAGGAGGTCCTGCAGTGGCGTGACTCACTGGAGAAGCTCCTGCAGAACCCCTGTAAGTCCCCCTCTGTGACCGTGTCCCCCCCACAGCCGGTGTCCCCCTGGTGGGCAGTGGGGATTCAGGGTGCCCCAGTGCTCAGCAGTGCCTGACCCCTGCAGATGGGCTCGCCAGCTTCCGCACCTTCCTGTGCTCCGAGTTCAGTGAGGAGAATGTTGAGTTCTGGGTGGCCTGTGAGGACTACAAGAAGACCAAGTCCCCTGTGAAGATGGAAGAGAAGGCCAAGAGGATCTATGAGGAGTTCATCCAGACCGAAGCACCCAAAGAGGTTGGTGACTGCAGGGTGGGGATGGTGCTGGGAGGGGTGGGGGTTCCTCTAGCTGATGGCTGCAGGGCAGGCTGTGCCACAGCCACGGGGCTTGCAGCAGCTCTGGTGCCTTGTTTGCAGACTTAGCAGCCACCCTCAGCCCTCGCCTGGCTGACCTGCCAGGTCTGTCCCCATGACCTTTTAGTGGGATAGAGCAGGTGAGGAGATGCCACCATCCCCTCACAAACGTGAAGCTTCCATCCTTCTCATGCTCCCATCACAGGTGAACATTGACCACTTCACCAAGGCTGTGACCATGAAGAACCTGGTGGAGCCATCGCCGAGCAGTTTTGATATGGCTCAGAAGAGGATCTTTGCTCTGATGGAGAAAGATTCCCTGCCCAGATTCGTGCGGTCGGAGTTTTATCAGGAGTTAATCAAGTAGCAATGCGGCCAGGCTGCATGAGGCAGCTCACCACGGGCAGCCCTATTGCTTCTGTCTCAGCACCTACTCCTATAGCCACTTTGCTTTCATGATGCCACCCTACAAGAGCACTTAGGAATGCTGCTAAACACCTGCCTCAGTGCTTTGGACTCTCAGATGTCCCAGTGTCTCCTTTCTTTCCCATAGAGGACCAGCTCACAGGATCACCAGGTGATGCTCCAGGGCCTGACTAGTTCAAAACACTGGCATTGTTTAGCAACCCTATGTACCAAACTCATAGTTTCCAATCCGCAGCTGCATCCCTACTGCCCACGTGCAGCCTGGTGGCATCTCCGGGGGTGCTGCTGTGATTGCTTCTCTCTCTGGTTGCTTCTCTGCAGCAGGCATGCCACAGCGATACTTCTGCACAAACCCAAACCAGGGGCACAGGTGAGAGGAAGGAGGACTGTCATGCTGGGGGAGAAAAGAGCTGCTGGGTGAAGCCCGTCAGAGCAAATTCCAGGGAACATAAAGCAAGCAAACAGCAAAGCCAAAGATGTCATTGGAAATATGAACAATAAAACCCCATCTTCTTGAACAGATAACAAACTCTGTTGAGTTTGTGTAGCCTGCCTCTCTCTTCTGTCTCCCTCTCTCTGCCCAGGGCACGTGTTTCTACAAGGCCATCTCTTAAAAAGACCACATCTTTTCAAGCAATCCAAATCCAGCCTGCTGTCTGCTACCAGAAGAAATTGCATCTGACGATGGGGCAAAGGCACATGCAAAAAGTAGCTGGGGCCTCATCCAGCCCCGAACCAGAGAGTCCCTGGATATGGAATGAGCTGAGCCCCATCCCTGGGGGATCCCTGCAGCATCTGTGTGCAAGGAGCAGCAGACAGGGACTCACTGCCTGCACCCACCTGCACTCAGACTGCTAAACTTTAGGCCATGAGGCTCCACACAGCCTCTTCAGCATTTACAGAATCGGATCAAACCTCAGTAAACCCAAATATTTACATGCTGTCACTATGGCAATGAATAAAAATACCACAGGAAGTGGGCTGCATTTTCCAGGCAGGGAGGGGATACAGGGGAAAGATGAAGGTGACCATAAGCATGATGTTGGCAGTGGCTTTTTTTTCTCCTCTCAAGCAAGTGGCTGGGAAAGTCGGAGCTGGAGCAGCAGGCGAGGCTGGCAAATCCTCTGGAGTGGCTCAAGCTGCCCAAAGGTGTGGGATAACCTCAGCATGGGTGCATGGCAGGAGTGGGCAGGAGGCTCAGGAAGTGCCACCATCAGGATATCCCCACCACAACCCGCATGTCTTCATGAAGAGGTGCTACCATTACCACATCTGGCATGTTTAACCTCCCTGTTCACAGCATAGAAATGCAAATCCAACCAGGCTTCTCCATGGAAAGACCCAGACCTTTAATTCCCACAAATGCTTTGGCAGCTATTTCTAGATACCCTCACGTGTTTTGCAGTTGAAGATGTTGAGGCTCTTGAAGTTTGGATTCTACTGGAAGCTGAATGTGCAAAGAAAACCTGGGATGTCATTGGCTGCAGCAGCTCTGCGTGGGGCAGGAAAACAGGGCTGGGGTATGTGAACGCCCAAAAGAAAGCTGAAGGCCATGGAGGTGAAACAGACCCATTGGGAATCCCACCCCAGCTTGACCTCTACTGAAAATGTTGGAAACTTGCTTTAGGGGTGATGTAACAGTTCCAGCAAGGAACAGGGCGGCCATGAATTGTGCCTCCAAAGTGTTTTGGAGCTCTTGTGAAGTTGTGTTTGTGTAGAAGGCTCGTTTGGGCATGCTTACCTGGAAACATAGCGATGCTTGCACCGCATGGCCAGGCTTTCTGCAGGCCCAAGAGTGTTTGCTAAGTTAGTAACAACCATCATATCTCCGGTAGCAAATGCTTCATGTATTTTGTCACTCTTGCTTTTACCAAGTTTGGCATATATATGAGCACTCTTCACATGACATTATACATCTATAACATTGCATCCATACTTAAGTATACACACACACATATACATACTCTTAATATTGGCATCCAGATCCAAGTCAGTCTGTGAATCAAAGTGCAGGATATGGTGCCTGGGGTCTGAGGGATAAGTAAATGGATTTAGCATGGTTCCCAACACCACCAAGGGAAACCTCAGCCCCTCACCTGCTGAAAAGAGAGGTGCATCCTCCCTCACACCCTTAGAGGCCACCCTGTGCCATGGCTCTGGCACTGTGCACCCCAAGGCCCATAGGGTGCCTGGGGACCCTCCTCTGCCATGGGGCAAGGCAACCCCATGATGCAGCCTGGGCCCCAGCACCATCCCAGCATGGGATGGCCATTGGTGCCCGTGGGTGGCTGAGGGTGTCCCAGGGTTCAGCCCAGCCCCTGGCCACTGGTCTGGGCTCCCTGGCTGGGAATGCAGAGGGCCATGGCCAACATCCAAGGTTGGAGCAGGATGGGCTCCTTACAGGTCCAAGGAGCTGCTTCTCCGTTTGATGTTCTCCATGTGGTTTTCATGCTTGAAGATGCGGGATGTTGATGTGCACTGAGGAACTGGTTGCATTAACCCACATTCTTGTACCACTCAGTAATCCACGTATAAACATTTATTTCTGCTACCGTCTCAATGGACTATTTATTCTGTCTCTGTGTCGAAGGGGCAGCATCCTTACCTTCCACAGGGCACTCCCAAAGCCCTGGCAAGCAGCAAAGTCTTCTGAGAGTTTCAGCTGTGCCAGATGTGTCAGTTTCCCAAGAAACTGGAAAAGGGAATAAAAATACCACCCCAAGAGACTAGAGCGGAGGAAATCCCTGGCGCCAGCACAGCCTGAGCATCCCCCAGTGGGCAGCTCTACCTCTGCAGTGCTTGGGCACATGGTCAGGTTGAGCCCTGAGCTGCAGTGTGCTCCCCTCTGGAGCTCTGATGTGCAGGTGGGGAAGGGGAGATCCCAGCTGCAGAGGCACATGGGACACCAGGGATTTGCAATGAGGAGGTTTCCCCAACCATGGGTGGCCCTGTGCTCACCCCAGCCCTGTGACGAGGGTGGGCATTCCCTGTTAGGAACAGCATGGACCCCAAAAAGCCCACCCCTACTCCCTGCCCCAAGATGATGGATGCCTCTGCGGGGGAGCACACCTGTAGGGGTTTAATGGCTGCTTCACCCTTCCGCGATTTAAAACAATGGGAGCAGAGCCACTTGTGAAATGACTTTCCAGAGGAACTTTAGTCAGTGAATTGCATCACCGCGCATTCTTTGGTTCACACAACAGCACTTTAGCAGGGACTAATCCAAATATGTTTTATTTAGTATGTATTCATTATTATTTAAATATCAATACATTTTTTTTGCAAGAGTTGTCAAGAGTTCCCAGTACCAGAGGCAAATAAAACATAGCCACATGCTCAGCTATGCTCAGAGTATTAGAAGCTCTCCATCTTGCAGCTGAACATGCAGGGTGGTATGTGTCAGCATACAAAGAAATGCAAAAGAAAGCAAATGTGGGAAGTGATGCTTTTGTGTGGGCCTCAAAGCACCTACTGGAGAGCCACAGCCTTCTGCCATGTCAGAACCCCTGTGAGGACAGTTGTCTGAGCAGGGATGCAGTGCGAGGAATGTATGGCTGTCAGAGCAGCAATTTCCAGCTAGGGAAAGACTGAGAGCTGGGGAGAGTATGACCAGAGCCCAGGAGCAGTAGCGAGGCCAGCACACCCCTTCCACCATCTTCAGGACAAAAGTGAGTAATGCAACTACTGGATGACATGAATAACTTACATTAATAACTTAAAAAGCAAACAAACTAACAAACTAACAAAAAAAAAAGCCTGTAATATTTCAAGTATTCCCAAGCAGCGCCTTCCCTCCTTAGCTGTTGTAATAGTGGTCTTAGTCCATTACAAATTGCTTCATTCAAGTCAGGACAGGCAAACCTGCGTTCAGGAGTTACTAATATCTGTCTAGAAGAGAAGGAACATGTTTCAGTTCTGCTCTGCTATAGTATAAGAATGATAGATTTAGTTTGGGAGTGTGAAGGGTACAATTATGTTCAAAAAACTGAACCTCCCCCCAAATAATAGCTCTGTGCAGCCTTAAAAAAACATAAGGTCCTCACCCAACTTCATCTAGATGCTACAGACAGGAAAAGCAGCTCAGAGATAGCTTTCATGCAATTTTGTGTAATGACCATAGGAGACTGTGTGCTAGCCTGAAAGTGTTGATCTCCCTTCAAGAAAGAGTGGAGCTCTTCCTGTGCCTGATAGCTGGGAGCTATACAAACAGCTAAGGACCAGACCAAGTCCTTCCTTCCCACCTAAGCTCTTGCTGATTAGAAGGGGTGAGAGGTATCAGTCCACACCACCTTGCGTGGCCTCCCTGCTCCTTGCTACGCGTCACACCGTGACACCATGAGACTGTTCCCTTTATGGCCAGCACTAGGTGTGAGTGTGTGTGCCCCTTCCCTGCTGCTCCCACCCTCCTGGGCTCAGTGCTTGTCAGAAATGGACCCACAGTGACCTCACTGCGCTCTCACATCAGACAGACCCCAGGGCTCCTACACAGTCGGAGTCGGAGGGTTTGCTACACAAACTGAGCCTGGTTTGGGTTACAAATGCTGGCTGCTGCATGACACGGGACACAATGGGGACATTAGACAGCTACTGAAGACAGCTCTGTTGCTTCATGCCAATGAATGCTTTTGCTGCCATATATTCCTACGAGAGCCCAGCCTGCTCCTGACCTCACTGCAGGTTCAGGCACACTGGGAAATGATATTAGAGTTACAGTCTATGGCATGAGCCTGGGCTCTTTTGCAGTTTTCGGGCCCACAGCCAGCTGTGGGTGGGCTGACCAAGTCCAGGTAGTAGGGGGACTTGAGGAAACGGCGGTAAGAATCCTTCTCCATGAGGGTGAATATTTTTCTCTGAGCCTCATCAAAGCAGGACAGTGTAGGCTCCAGCATATTGTGGCTCGTCTTCTCCCGTGTGCATGAATCCAGGTTGACCTGTGGGCCAAAGGGACAGCATAAGTAGCATCTGTCCCAGGAATGGTTAGCATATCCAAGTGCCTCCTAACTCCACCAAGTAAACTTAATCTGTCCGTGTGGGCAGTGGTCTGAAATGACCCTTGGACACCCTGTAGCCTTCAAATAATCCATGCAGATGGACACCAATGCATCTCTTCTGCTAGATGAATTGTCAGGGCAGACTGACACATGCTCCTCTGGGATTCAGCCCGGCACTAACCTCAAGCAACTTCAAGAGGAGGTGGAACACGGAGCAGGTGGAACACTGGGAATCAGCATCCTCTTGGGCTTTTCCCACCTAAGTGTGCATGTGGGACGGCCACATAACTAGACCCACTTTCTCTCTATCCAAGTTAAATATTAACACAATAAAGATGACACTATTTCCTTGCTAAGCACAAGAGAAGAGGCACTTTTCAATTCTTGTGAAACTACCAGAATTCTTTTCCCTATTTCTGGCCTGGTTCAGGACCTGGGGTCTATGTCGTGTATAATGTCGTGTGAAGGGTGCTCATATATATGCCAATCTATGCCCAAAAATTATTCTGTGCACATACCTCTTTTGTTGCCTGCACAGAGATGAATTCATCATATATCTTCCTGGCCTTGGGGCTGAGCTTGGCTGGTGACTTGGTTTTCTTGTAGTCCTCACAACTGACCCAGAACTCGATGTTTTCCTCACTGTACTCAGATTTGAGAAAAGCACGGAAAGCAGCCAGACCTCCTACAGATCATGGAGGAAAATATATAGGGTTTATAGAGGAAAATCAGAGCAGGTAAGAGCGTTAATTTCTGGGTTTGGTCAACACATATGAACACCATATGCCTCAGCAAACAGCAGTTCTGGATTACCCTTGACTGAGCAATTCCTTTCCGCTGGCAACAGCTCCAGCCTCCACAGCAGCAGCTCGTGCAGGCCAAAGGAGGCTGGAATTCAGGCAGGTCCCACTGGGATGTCAGACGTGGGTCCTCAGCTGCCTGCCCCCACACTGTGACCCTCTGTGGCTCAGCCAGAACACAAGCAACTTGTATGATCCCAGAAGGACCTGAGGAGCCAGCTAGCATATGCTGCAGAGTCTCAGGCCATGGGAATGGCGTGAAGGAAACCTCAAGGGCATCAGTGTGGTCTGGAACTGATAGGAAGACAAAGTCTCCCATGGAGATTCAGCTGGAAATAGCTTCTCTGCTTTCTGCCTCTTGTTTAACCCAATGTTAAAGACTGCGTGCTGCAGTCTTGCTGCTCCTGAAATCATCTGGCACAGGAGTGGAACAGTTGCCCTCACAAAAGGGACAGCCTAGCAGTCAGCCAAAGCGCCGCTCTTGATGCCCCTTGGATCTCACATACAGCACCCTTCACCACCCCTCCCAGAGGCCAAAGGAGCTACATCGTGCTGTTAAAAGACACAAGATAACACCCCATGCCTCTTAGGACTGCTAGGCATGTTGGCTGCTGGTGGGACCCTCAGCATCTCCTCCTCAGCATCAGCATCAGCAGAAGGAAACTCTTTACTTACTGTCATGATGGATCAAATTTTCCAATGACTCTGCCCACTTTTTGACTTCCTCTTGGCTAACCCTGTCAGGAGAAAAAGGGAGAATCACAGAATCATTAAAGTTGAAAAAAACCGCTAAGAAGATCTAGTCCAACCATCAGCCCACTCACAGCATGCCCACTAACCACATCTCAGTGCCTCATCTACATGGTTCTTGAGCACCTCCAGTGACAGTGACTCCACCACTTCCCTGGGCAGCCTGTGCCAGTGCCTCCTTTCAGGTTGGTGTGGAGAGCAATAAGGTCACCCCTGAGCCTCCTCCAGACTAAACACTCCCAGTTCCCTCAGTCCCTTCTCATCAGGTTTGTATTCCAGATTCTTCATAGCCTTCTTGCCTTTCTCTGGACATGCTCCAGGGCATCAATGTCTTTCTTGTAGTGAGGGGCCCAACACTGAACAGAGCACTTGTGTTGTGGCCTCACTAGAGCTGAATAGAGAGGGATGATCACCTCCTGCTCCTGCCAGATGCACTATTTTTGATACAAGCCAGGATGCTGTTGGCCTTCTTGGCCATCTGGGCACACTGCTGGCTTATATGTTCAGCTGAGCATTGACCAACAGCCCTGATCCTTTTCCTCCACACAGCTTGCCAGCCACTCTGCCCCAAGCCTGCACCATTGCATGGGGCTGTTGTGACCAAAGTGCGGCACCTGGCACTTCATCTTGTTGAACTTTGTCCCATTGGCCTCAGTCCAGCGATCAGCCCATCCAGATCTCTCTGCAGGGCCTTCCTACCCTCAGGCAGACTGACACTTCCTCCCAGCTTGGTGTCGTCTGCAAACGTATTGAGAGTGCATTCAATTCTGGATTCAAGCACACAGGAGTTCAGGAGGCACTATGAAGCAGCAGCAGCAGCAGAAATGCTAATGACTCCATCTCACTGCAGGAGTAAACAGCACATTGCAGCCAACCTTTGCTCAACTGCATGGCAACACAGCTCTTACCTCTGGCTTGGAGATACTTTCTCCTTCTTGCCCTGTGGAGAGCCATAGTCACAGGAGTCTGACTTCTGCAGCAAGACACCCAGACGATGCTTCATATCCTTGGCACTGAAAGAAACAATTCAAGAATGACATGAGAATAATGCACTATGACTCCCTCTGCAGCCACCTTGACTGCAGTAAGCTTGTTCAGCACTGTTTGGTTAGACCAAAGCAGGTCACAGCCAGTGACTCCAGTGCTGACTTTTCACTCCTTGTTTCATTTGCTAGACAAAATACAGCAAAGTCAAAGTGTTCATTTCTCACTCTCAGCAGCATCATCTTGCTGAGCTCCTCAGCCTGCAGGGAGGGCTGGCAAAGGGGGAGAAACGGTTGTATTACTACTAATTGTTTACACTTAAAATACTGTGATAGAAAAATATCACTAAATGTGCTGCTTCTCCCTGAACTGACTTGCCCAGCTACCAGTGTCTGATTCTATGCTTACTAATGCCTTCCTACAGGAGGGTGTCAGTATTATTTGTTTCCAAAGCCATGTTGAGCAGGCAGCCTTTTTTCCCAGATGACAGCAGGCGTACATACTGGGCTGTGGGGCAGCTCATGGTGCTGGGGGTGCACAGGCAGCTCAGCCAGCACAGGGGTGTCCTGGCCAGTGCCACACATGGGGCACAGCCACCCCACATCAGCACCTGTCTCCTGCTCCTGCAAAGTTTGGTTTCTAACTTGGGCTGTGTTCTGGGGAATGAACCCCAGTTGTTGTGAAATCATGTCTGCCTTGCTTCCCCCTCAAAGAAATCAAGAAAAGGAAACTCACCAGAGATAGAGCGCTGAAAGCAGAAAAGGGGTAAAAGCTTGTGGCATAAGCAGATGACAGGAATATCAAGGCAGAGCAATGCTGCAAGCTGTTTGTTTTGCTGATGGGAAGGACGGTTGTAGCATTCCCACAGCTCAGTACAAATCCCTTAGGCAATTCTGTTTCTGACTAACAGTAAAAAGCCCGTAAACCATCATTTGTATCTAATCTTACAGAGGAATCAGAGCCAAATCTGCCACTTCTACCTCAGACACAAAGTGCATTTCAGCGTATCTCCAGGCTAACAAGACCATGAGAGATGCTCAGAAATAAACAGTACCTTTTTAAGCAAGTGGCTGGCAGTGCAGCGAGTCCCTTGCACATCTTGCTCCCAAGGTCAGGTCTGTATTCCAGGAAAAAAAATAACCACAAGGCAGGAAGCAGCAGGGGCTGCGCAGGTCCTTTGCTGGCTGCAGAATTCGGTCTGCCTGTGAGCCAGCTGCTTGGCGTGGCTCTGTTTTATAGCCTAGCCCAGCCAGCCCAGCAGAGCTCAGTGACCCAGTCAGCAGCCAGCATAGCAGCTGCACCGTCCCCCTTCTGCCCACCCAAGAGGAAGAGGGTGACGTATAAGCTGAGACAAATGGCTGAGTGGGACTGAAAATCTTACCAGAAATGAAGCTGGGTGGCTGCAGAGATGGATTCTTTGCAAAGGATGGAAAAAGCTCCAGGGGCTTTCCCCTGTCTCAAAAGATGAAATGGTGCAGATAAAAGCTGGGGGAAGATTTCAGAGGGGCAAAGGGTCAGGGGAATCTGTTCTGCCAGTTCCTTGGTTCATTTTCCCATTCTTTTTGGAGGAACCTAGTGAAAATAAGGGACAAGAATTCAAAACCCCATAGGTTCCCACAGCCTCAGCAAATGCAGAAGCTGGAGCTGTGAGGAAACAGGAATGTGAATTCACCAGGGAACTACCCAGGCAAATGAGACTGGGTACTTTCGTTCTGGAGGCGTGTGGATATATGCCTTTGATCAGGCTGAAAAAAGAGGTCTGAGGAGCACATCACCACTGGAATACAAAATGAGTTAGTCCCAGCACATTTATATTTAAGGACAGCTCGTGCATATGTGTAGGAAAAAAAAAGATGAGACATTGAGAACATGGCTGCCTTAAATATACGGGTATCACTAACACCTCACTTCTTCATCTGCATTTGCCCCCACTCAAAAGCCAGACCTTGCTACTCAGTGTATCTGAGCACCAAGGGGAGAAGATTCATCAACACACTGGGCATAGCAGTGCCTCCTCGGAGGGGACTTCCTGGCAGCATTGAGGCTGCTCTGTGCTAAAGGATGCACCACACACCTGGGCATGGGGATGCTTGGCTGCACTGCTTGGTTTTGGTGTAGTTCTGAAGGAGAGTGGAAGACTCCAGCTGTGCCACTTCTCCTCACCTCCAGGAGGGTGCAGAAGGCAGAAGCAGGCTGAAAGCACCCCTCTGGAAGCAAGAGCTGGCTGATACTTACTGAGTTGCTGCTCAGCACAGTCTACCATCTTAGAAGAGGGTGTCATGCACCATCATGTGCACATGCTGCTCCTGTGAAACAAAGCAGCTTCAGTTCAGCAGCAGGCTGTCTGCCCACATTGCCCACTGCTGGGCTCCCTCTCCCTAGGACATTTGAAATACTTTGCCCACAGCCTGGAAAAGGTGTAGGGTAAGCTCTTCCCTCCCATATCTCTGCAGCCTCCAGCCTGCAGCACAGAAGACCCAACTCCTGGACTAGCTTACCTGCCTTGGCACACTGCATCCTCTCAGTTTGTTACCTGCACTGGATGTTCACGAAGTGGAGCATTAAGTGCTCCAATAAACCTTAAAATGCTTTTGTTCTAATGTGACTACTGCCAGACCTGAGCTGTGCAGTTCCCACACTGTTTGGACTAAAATTTAACTGTAGCACAAGGCACTGTCATACTTCATCTGAGTGTTGGTGAGCCAACAGCACTTGGGTGGGTCTGTGGGGGGTGACAGAGCACTGCAGAGCTGGTGCCAAAGCTCTCTGATGTATCCTGTTTCAGAAGTCAAAGAGCAGAATATGGCCAAGGAGAAAAATCTGACTTAATTGAGCAATTTAAAGATGTAATTAATTTTAATCTTACACTTGCGAGATTCTACTGCTGCTAGCAGACTGTAGCACACTCATGCTTGCTAAGCCAGGGAACCTGTGTCCAGGACACAGAAATTCTGCAGTTTTTCTGCAAATGGGTGTATTCAGAAATTTAGGAATCTTACACTTTCTTTATACAGTAAGCACATTTCCTGTGCAGTTCTCAACATTCACTTACCTTCTGGATACCCCAATTTCTGTTTGAGCAGGCTGTGAGAACAAGAAGCATTTTCTAACGCTGCCAGCACAACAGACAGCAATTAAGAATTAGGCAATTTGCAATTAAGACCACCTTCTCCAGACTGGGCATGCAGACTCCCAGAATTTTGCAGCATTCAAAATTTTGCTCTTTCCAGCTCATTAACACATGCTTGTTCAGTCTGTTCCTCCTGCCAGGAGCGTGGGTTTGTGTTGTGTTTCTCCTCCCTGCTGTGTTTCCCAGCTGTTGAAGTTCAGTATCATCTTAGCTGCTACAGATGGTCCCCAATGAGAAATACTTCCTTCTATCTGTTCCTCTTGTATGAGCTCTTTTCTCCCAGCACACAGGTAGGGCTGTTCTTGATGCCAAGATCTCATCCCTGCCAGGTGCAAGCATGGCAGCTCTTGTGCGTGCCATGCAATCTTTGCTTGCCTTGCCTGTGGACAGAGAAGGGTGGGGAGGTCAGTAGTGAGGATGGGCAGGGGGTGTGAGGCTAGGGGCTCCCTGCCAAAATATCTCTAACAAATACTGCCACAGCCTTGAAACGTGATGCTGTCAGAAGCGAAAAGAGCCTCAAAAAAACTAAGTAAATGCCAAGGAATTCCTCACAGTGGCCTGGTAGGTAGAGCAGAGCTTTCCCTCCTGCCACTATTGCTAGGGAACAATCCATGTACATGCTCATCCACCTCCCCCACTAGTGTGTGTGTGGGATGCATCCCTCAGCTCACAGTGCAGGATGTGTCCCTTAGCTCACAGCACAGGCCGTGGGAGGAGGCTGGGAGCATAGCAGTACTGCTCCTGTGGTCATTGCCCAGACTCAAGCTACCAGAGGCCATTGCCCTCCCAGCAGCAGAAGGCTCTATCCCTGCTGTGCCTTGCTGAGGCTTGTACAGGCTGGATATCTCTTTCTGCTGTTCCTGCTGGTCTGCCAGTCTCCTCAGGACTGCCCTAGCATGTCTCTGGGTGCTGAGCATCCCCATGGCAGTATGCCTGCTCCCTGCCTGCAAGCACTCTCTTGCATGGAATCCTACCCACCACAGATTCCTTCTCCAGTATTGTTGTCAGTGAGTAAGACTGTTCTGCTGACAAGGACCAGATCTTCTCCACTCACATGCATGATTTGATTGAATTACCACTAATGACCTGGGAAGAAGGTGCCCTGGAAGGACTGTTTGGGTGTGAGTTTGGTTGAGTCAACTCTGTGTGTGCCTACATCTGACACTACAAGCAGCCATGTTTTCTGTCCTGGGGTTCTGCCGGCGTCTGGCTTCTCTCAAAGATGCATGAAAAAGCCTAATTTGTCTCCATCAGGTCCCCCAGCCAGCACAGGGATTCCTAGAAGTGGCATTCCACAGCACAAAGAAACAGAACTGTCCCATGTCTCCGCAGTGCAGTGCCTGACTTCATGCATGACTGCAGTCACAGCCCTAGTAAGCAGCCCAAGGCAGCCTGTGCAGGGAAAGCATCCATTCCCCAATTAGCCCTGACGAGAGCCATGACTCACCCTGCTGCCACATGCTTCATTCGCTGCTCACATGCAGAATTTCTGTGAGTGGATTTATCTCCAGGCTGACCCAGTCACCTCTTTGCTTTTCTTGTCTACGATAAAATGAACTTTTAAAGGCGATGCAGCTTTGAGTTGTTCTGTTGAGCCTGCACCTCTCTGAAGTGATGCTCTGTAGATGTTGGCTTATTCATGAAGCAGGCTCCATCTTCATAGACTTTATACAACCAAAGAAGCAACTCATTCAATGTTCCCACACTCCCAGGTATTTCCTATTATGTACTACTCGTTTAGGGTGGTGGTTGTTTTGGGGTATTGCTTTTTCTTCAGTCCTTAGTTTCTGGGTTGCCTACTTCTGTTGCTATCAAGAAGGCTGAGAAAAATCAGAAAAAAATACTTGAACTTGTAGCAAATGAAGAATTTTGTTCTGCCCAAACAGACTTTTTTTCTCCTGGTTTGGGTTTGCCAATGAAACAAAGAGTTTTTTGTCTGACCATTGCTCTTGTTTCTGGGCATCAAACAGCAGAAAAAGCTGCAGTTTGAGTAATTTGCCTTCCAGTTCCCAGATCTCCATCTCATCATCCATTGTGATTAACAGCCCATTAAACATTTCCTCTTGATCACTCAGAAAGTTTTGAATAACACTGGACCACAAACCAAGCTACCATATGCTTCTTCACTGATGCTTTCCAAATACTAAAAACACTTTGAAATGTCTCAGCCAGTTTGAGTCCATTTAATATGGATTTCATGGTATTTTAACCCAAATATTGATAGCAAGTCAGACTCATTTATAAATCTGTTTTATCACCACATCTGTCTCAGAAAAAAAAGCACTATTAGGTTCATTAGAAAAGGTCTGGTTTTTTCCATTAAATCATGTCAGCTGGTATCAATTACATCACCTCCTTTTCAGACGGGTCTGCTATCATCTGTGCTACCAGTGTTCCTGCACTGATCAAAAGGTTAATAGCTTGGTGACTACATAGCTCCTCTGCTTGCTGGGAAATGCCCTACCAAGGCAGCAGCAGTGAGACGTGAAGGTGGGACAGCTCTGACTGCCCCCATCATAGCAGCATAGGATTGTTGGGTTTGGAGGGGACCTTTAAAGGCCATCTGATCCAATTTCTCCACTGAACAGGGGCACCTACAGCTCCATCAGGTGTTCAGAGCCCATCTAGCCTGACCTTGGGTGCCTGCAGGGACTGGGCACCACCACCTGTCCAAGCTGATGTCCAGTAAAGGACACTGGTCTGTGCCCAGCTCCCTTGGGCACCTCGCACTCATGGGCTGTCTGCTTCATGTGAACGTAACCGAGGATGCAGAGGAGGCAGAAAGCGAGAAGGGAGAGCATGGCTGCATCAGGAACTGTGAGCACCAGCTCCTTTACATACAGCTGAAACACTCCCTGCTCTTCCTGCGCCTTGGCAACCCAGCTGTGCAGGGACTTCTTGTCTACAGCTTTGAAAAGCTTGACTTTTTAACATGGCTGAGCTATCTTCTGCTGAGGTGATCACTGGAGGATGTGAAGTTACAGCCTACATCTTTTATGGCTGCATATCTGGCGAGATCTGCAGCCTTGATCTTCCTTCCTCCCTTCCTTCCTCTCCTGTTATCTTTCCAGCAGCAGCAGAGCAGGATT